CTTCGCCAAAAAGGCAGTGCCAGCCCTGCATTCACATGTAGAAGAGATGGTGGGCCAGTCTTTGAGCATGTCGGTCTCTGCCAAAGTGCACGGCAGCGCCGACGTGTGGAGCTGTAACTACGGTCAGGGACAGTACATGTCATTTACGGCCCACTGGGTGAACGTGGTGCCGTCACAGCCGCACCAGCAACTTGGACAGGTCACGCCGCTTTTGCCTCCACGTTTGCACGTCCTTGGTCCGGCAAAGATGTCCGCCTCTACCACCTCTTCTTCCGCCGTGTCCTCAGCCGCCCACCCCCCGTGCCAAGTCCCATTACCCGACCGGCATATCACATGTGCAGGGCGCAACGGTGTCACGCTGTGCTGCACCTGGTATGCCTTGGCGAACGTAGTCACACAGGGGAGGAACTTCTCAGTGTAATGAACAGAGAAATCGACAGATGGCTGTCTCCGCGCAAACTGAAAATCGGAACCATGTTGACCGACAACGGAAAGAACATGGTGTCTGCTCTGCGTCAAGGAAGGTTGTGCCATGCGCCATGCATGGCTCACGTGTTCAATCTGGTTGTCAAGCGGTTCCTAAAATCCACCATCCCACTGCAAGACATCCTTAAAATGTCACGTAAACTTTGCATGCATTTCAGCCATTCCTACACCGCAAAGCACACCCTCCTTGAGCTGCAGCGGCAGAACGGAATTCCACAGCATCGCCTGATCTGCGACGTTGCAACAAGGTGGAATTCAACCCACACATGTTAGACCGCCTTTACGAACAGCGAAAGGCCATCACCGATTTCCTGATGTTACAAGCGGATAAAGGTACTCCCCTGTGTAACTTCGATGTCAGCCATTGGCAGCTCATGCGTGACACCTGCCGCTTGCTCAGGCCCTTTGAGGAGGCCACGCTATTCGTGAGTCGGCAGGACTATGGGATGAACGACGTCATTCCTCTGTTGCACGTCCTGGAACAAATGCTGTTAACAATGGCTGGTCAGGGTGCGGTAGACGTGGCGCACAGATCTCAACGCCACATGACCCCTGTGGGGGCAGGACAGGAAGAAGAGGAGGAGGTAGAGGAGGACATTTGTGCTCAGGAATTATTGAGTGAAATGGGTGGTTTTTCCACTCAGCGGACAGGAGTGGAGGAGCAGGAGCATCTGGTAGAGAGGAGGAGGAGGAGACAGAGGACCCAGACGCACCGTGGCAGTATGCTGTGGAGATGGAGGCAGGGAGTCCCTCGCATTCCTTGGCACAAATGGCCCATAGCATGCTCGGTTGCTTGCGTAGCGACAGCCGAATAATAACCATCAGACAGAGGGATGACTTTTGGCTGTCCACCTTGTTGGACCCTCGCTACCGTTCAAAAATGGTGGCCTTTTTCACACCTGCTGAGAGGGAGGCCAAAATAACGTACTATAAAAACCACCTATGTAGTCAGTTGGTCTCTGCCTTTGTGCGCCAACGTCCATCCTCAGACACTGTGGGCCCTGTGCGCTCGCGTTCCGCTGCCATGGCAGCAGGGGAGGGGGGGGGTGGTAGGAGCAGTGGCAGCTCCACCAGCAGCGGCTGCCTCAGTCTGCAGTCGATGATGAGTAGCTTTCTTCACCAGCGCAGTGAGGAAACTACTAACCAGCCCGCAGCAGCAGCAGCAGCATCAGGTGGACCTGGAGCAGGACCTCAAACAACAGGCTTGGGCCTACTTGGACAGCACCCTGCCAACCGAGGTAGACAATCCCCTTGACTACTGGGCAACGAAACTTGACCTTTGGCCCCAACTAGCTGAATTTGCCCTTGAAAGGCTGTCATGCCCGGCCAGTAGCGTGGCATCGAGCGCGTGTGTTTAGTGCGGCAGGAGGTATTGTAACTCCGCGGAGGACACGACTGTCCACCCAAAGTGTGGAGAGACTCACGTTTGTGAAAATGAATCAGGCGTGGATTAGTCTGGATTTCAAACCACCAGTTCCTGACACAACTGACTAAATCCGCCATGAATCATGCCTCAAACATGTGCCACTTTCAGGTCTCCTCACACACTGCTGGTGTGTTCCATTTTTTGTCATAGGGTGCTGGCAGATTACGGGCCTCCCATATAGCTGCTGCCAGGCCCCTAATCTGCCATGGGCCCCTATACCGCCTCCTCATGCTGCTGCCAGGTCCAGAGTCTCTCATGGGTCCCTGTACGGCCTCCCATTGCTGCTGTCTCCATCGCCACACTCTGCCATGTGCCACTTTCAGGTCTCCTCACACACTGCTGGTGTGTTCATTTTTTGACATAGGGTGCTGGCAGATTACGGGCCTCCCATAGCTGCTGCCAGGCCCCTAATCTGCCATGGGCCCCTATATACCGCCTCCTCATGCTGCTGCCAGGTCCAGAGTCTCTCATGGGTCCCTGTACGCCTCCCATTGCTGCTGTCTCCATCGCCACACTCTGCCATGTGCCACTTTCAGGTCTCCTCACACACTGCTGGTGTGTTGAATTTTTTGACATAGGGTGCTGGCAGATTACGGGCCTCCCATAGCTGCTGCCAGGCCCCTAATCTGCCATAGGCCCCTATATACCCGCCCTCCTCATGCTGCTGCCAGGTCCAGAGTCTCTCATGGGTCCCTGTACGGCCTCCCATGCTGCTGCTGTCTCCATCGCCACACTCTGCCATGTGCCACTTTCAGGTCTCCTCACACACTGCTGGTGTGTTGAATTTTTTGACATAGGGTGCTGGCAGATTACGGGCCTCCCATAGCTGCTGCCAGGCCCCTAATCTGCCATGGGCCCCTATATACCGCCTCCTCATGCTGCTGCCAGGTCCAGAGTCTCTCATGGGTCCCTGTACGGCCTCCCATTGCTGCTGTCTCCATCGCCACACTCTGCCATGTGCCACTTTCAGGTCTCCTCCTCACACTGCTGGTGTGTTGAATTTTTTGACATAGGGTGCTGGCAGATTACGGGCCTCCCATAGCTGCTGCCAGGCCCCTAATCTGCCATGGGCCCCTATATACCCGCCTCCTCATGCTGCTGCCAGGTCCAGAGTCTCTCATGGGTCCCTGTACGGCCTCCCATTGCTGCTGTCTCCATCGCCACACTCTGCCATGTGCCACACTTTCAGGTCTCCTCACACACTGCTGGTGTGTTGAAATTTTTTTGACATAGGGTGCTGGCAGATTACGGGCCTCCCATAGCTGCTGCCAGGCCCCTAATCTGCCATGGGCCCCTATATACCGCCTCCTCATGCTGCTGCCAAGGTCCAGAGTCTCTCATGGGTCCCTGTACGGCCTCCCATTGCTGCTGTCTCCATCGCCACACTCTGCCATGTGCCACTTTCAGGTCTCCTCACACACTGCTGGTGTGTTGAATTTTTTGACATAGGGTGCTGGCAGATTACGGGCCTCCATAGCTGCTGCTGCTGCCAGGCCCCTAAATCTGCCATGGGCCCCTATATACCGCCTCCTCATGCTGCTGCCAAGGTCCAGAGTCTCTCATGGGTCCCTGTACGGCCTCCCATTGCTGCTGTCTCCATCGCCACACTCTGCCATGTGCCACTTTCAGGTCTCCTCACACTGCTGGTGTGTTGAATTTTTTGACATAGGGTGCTGGCAGATTACGGGCCTCCCATAGCTGCTGCCAGGCCCCTAATCTGCCATGGGCCCCTATATACCGCCTCCTCATGCTGCTGCCAGGTCCAGAGTCTCTGCTGGGTCCCTGTAGTACGGCCTCCCATTGCTGCTGTCTCCTCCATCGCCACACTCTGCCATGTGCCACTTTTCAGGTCTCCTCACACTGCTGGTGTGTTGAATTTTTTGACATAGGGTGCTGGCAGATTACGGGCCTCCCATAGCTGCTGCCAGGCCCCTAATCTGCCATGCCATGGGCCCCTATACCGCCTCCTCATGCTGCTGCCAGGTCCAGAGTCTCTCATGGGTCCCTGTACGGCCTCCCATGCTGCTGCTGTCTCCATCGCCACACTCTGCCATGTGCCACTTTCAGGGTCTCCTCACACACTGCTGGTGTGTTGAATTTTTTGACATAGGGTGCTGGCAGATTACGGGCCTCCCATAGCTGCTGCTGCCAGGCCCCTAATCTGCCATGGGCCCCTATATATATACCGCCTCCTCATGCTGCTGCCAGGTCCAGAGTCTCTCATGGGTCCCTGTACGGCCTCCCATTGCTGCTGTCTCCATCGCCACACTCTGCCATGTGCCACTTTCAGGTCTCCTCACACACTGCTGGTGTGTTGAATTTTTTGACATAGGGTGCTGGCAGATTACGGGCCTCCCTATAGCTGCTGCCAGGCCCCTAATCTGCCATGGGCCCCTATATACCGCCTCCTCATGCTGCTGCCAGGTCCAGAGTCTCTCATGGGTCCCTGTACGGCCTCCCATTGCTGCTGTCTCCATCGCCACACTCTGCCATGTGCCACTTTCAGGTCTCCTCACACACTGCTGCTGTGTGTTGAATTTTTTGACATAGGGCTGGCAGATTACGGGCCTCCCATAGCTGCTGCCAGGCCCCTAATCTGCCATGGGCCCCTATATACCGCCCGCCTCCTCATGCTGCTGCCAGTCCAGAGTCTCTCATGGGTCCCTGTACGGCCTCCCATTGCTGCTGTCTCCATCGCCACACTCTGCCATGTGCCACTTTCAGGTCTCCTCACACACTGCTGGTGTGTTGAATTTTTTTGACATAGGGTGCTGGCAGATTACGGGCCTCCCATAGCTGCTGCCAGGCCCCTAATCTGCCATGGCCCCTATATACCGCCTCCTCATGCTGCTGCCAAGTCCAGAGTCTCTCATGGGTCCCTGTACGGCCTCCCATTGCTGCTGTCTCCATCGCCACACTCTGCCATGTGCCACTTTCAGGTCTCCTCACACACTGCTGGTGTGTTGAATTTTTTTGACATAGGGTGCTGGCAGATTACGGGCCTCCCTATAGCTGCTGCCAGGCCCCTAATCTGCCATGGGCCCCTATATACCGCCTCCTCATGCTGCTGCCAGGTCCAGAGTCTCTCATGGGTCCCTGTACGGCCTCCCATTGCTGCTGTCTCCATCGCCACACTCTGCCATGTGCCACTTTCAGGTCTCTCTCACACACTGCTGGTGTGTTGAAATTTTTTGACATAGGGTGCTGGCAGATTACGGGCCTCCCATATAGCTGCTGCCAGGCCCCTAATCTGCCATGGGCCCCTATATACCGCCTCCTCATGCTGCTGCCAGGTCCAGAGTCTCTCATGGGTCCCTGTACGGCCTCCCATTGCTGCTGTCTCCATCGCCACACTCTGCCATGTGCCACTTTCAGGTCTCCTCACACACTGCTGGTGTGTTGAAATTTTTTGACATAGGGTGCTGGCAGATTACGGGCCTCCTATAGCTGCTGCCAGGCCCCTAATCTGCCATGGGCCCCTATATACCGCCTCCTCATGCTGCTGCCAGGTCCAGAGTCTCTCATGGGTCCCTGTACGGCCTCCCATTGCTGCTGTCTCCATCGCCACACTCTGCCATGTGCCACTTTCAGGTCTCCTCACACACTGCTGGTGTGTTGAATTTTTTGACATAGGGTGCTGGCAGATTACGGGCCTCCCATAGCTGCTGCCAGGCCCCTAATCTGCCATGGGCCCCTATATACCGCCTCCTCATGCTGCTGCCAGTCCAGAGTCTCTCATGGGTCCCTGTACGGCCTCCCATTGCTGCTGTCTCCATCGCCACACTCTGCCATGTGCCACTTTCAGGTCTCCTCACACACTGCTGTGTGTTGAATTTTTTGACATAGGGTGCTGGCAGATTACGGGCCTCCCATAGCTGCTGCCAGGCCCCTAATCTGCCATGGGCCCCTATATACCGCCTCCTCATGCTGCTGCCAAGTCCAGAGTCTCTCATGGGTCCCTGTACGGCCTCCCATTGCTGCTGTCTCCATCGCCACACTCTGCCATGTGCCACTTTCAGGTCTCCTCACACACACTGCTGGTGTGTTTGAATTTTTTGACATAGGGTGCTGGCAGATTACGGGCCTCCCATAGCTGCTGCCAGGCCCCTAATCTGCCATAGGCCCCTATATACCGCCTCCTCATGCTGCTGCCAGGTCCAGAGTCTCTCATGGGTCCCTGTACGGCCTCCCATTGCTGCTGTCTCCATCGCCACACACTCTGCCATGTGCCACTTTCAGGTCTCCTCACACACTGCTGGTGTGTTGAATTTTTTGACATAGGGTGCTGGCAGATTACGGGCCTCCCATAGCTGCTGCTGCCAGGCCCCTAATCTGCCATGGGCCCCTATATACCCCGCCTCCTCATGCTGCTGCCAGTCCAGAGAGTCTCTCATGGGTCCCTGTACGGCCTCCCATTGCTGCTGTCTCCATCGCCACACTCTGCCATGTGCCACTTTCAGGTCTCCTCACACACTGCTGGTGTGTTGAATTTTTTGACATAGGGTGCTGGCAGATTACGGGCCTCCCATAGCTGCTGCCAGGCCCCTAATCTGCCATGGCCCCCCCTATATACCGCCTCCTCATGCTGCTGCCAGTCCAGAGTCTCTCATGGGTCCCTGTACGGCCTCCCATTGCTGCTGTCTCCATCGCCACACTCTGCCCTCTGCCATGTGCCACTTTCAGGTCTCCTCACACTGCTGGTGTGTTGAATTTTTTGACATAGGGTGCTGGCAGATTACGGGCCTCCCATAGCTGCTGCCAGGCCCCTAATCTGCCATGGGCCCCTATATACCGCCTCCCTCCTCATGCTGCTGCCAGGTCCAGAGTCTCTCATGGGTCCCTGTACGGCCTCCCATTGCTGCTGTCTCCATCCATCGCCACACTCTGCCATGTGCCACTTTCAGGTCTCCTCACACACTGCTGGTGTGTTGAATTTTTTGACATAGGGTGCTGGCAGATTACGGGCCTCCCATAGCTGCTGCCAGGCCCCTAATCTGCCATGGGCCCCTATATACCGCCTCCTCATCTGCTGCTGCCAAGTCCAGAGTCCTCTCATGGGTCCCTGTACGGCCTCCCATTGCTGCTGTCTCCATCGCCACACTCAGGCCATGTGCCACTTTCAGGTCTCCTCCACACTGCTGGTGTGTTGAATTTTTTGACATAGGGGTGCTGGCAGATTACGGGCCTCCCATAGCTGCTGCCAGGCCCCTAATCTGCCATGGGCCCCTATATATACCGCCTCCTCATGCTGCTGCCAAGTCCAGAGTCTCTCATGGGTCCCTGTACGGCCTCCCATTGCTGCTGTCTCCATCGCCACACTCTGCCATGTGCCACTTTCAGGTCTCCTCACACACTGCTGGTGTGTTGAATTTTTTGACATAGGGTGCTGGCAGATTACGGCCCCCATAGCTGCTGCTGCCAGGCCCCTAATCTGCCATGGGCCCCTATATACCGCCTCCTCATGCTGCTGCCAAGTCCAGAGTCTGTCATGGGTCCCTGTACGGCCTCCCATTGCTGCTGTCTCCATCGCCACACTCTGCCATGTGCCACTTTCAGGTCTCCTCACACTGCTGGTGTGTTTTTTTTTTTGACATAGGGTGCTGGCAGATTACGGGCCTCCCATAGCTGCTGCCAGGCCCCTAATCTGCCATGGGCCCCTATATACCCGCCTCCTCATGCTGCTGCCAAGTCCAGAGTCTCTCTCATGGGTCCCTGTACGGCCTCCCATTGCTGCTGTCTCCATCGCCACACTCTGCCATGTGCCACTTTCAGGTCTCTCCTCACACACTGCTGGTGTGTTGAATTTTTTGACATAGGGTGCTGGCAGATTACGGGCCTCCCATAGCTGCTGCCAGGCCCCTAATCTGCCATGGGCCCCTATACCGCCTCCTCATGCTGCTGTCCCCATGGGTCCCAGTGTCTCATGCCATGTGCCACTTTCAGGTGCCACTTTCCTCACACACTGCTGGTGTGTTGAAATTTTTTGACATAGGGTGCTGGCAGATTACGGGCCTCCCATAGCTGCTGCCAGGCCCCCCTAATGGGCCATGGCCTCCCTGCTGCTGCCATCCAGCCTCCTCATGCTGCTGCCAGGTCCACAGTGTCTCCTGCCATGTGCCACTTTCAGGTCTCCTCACACACTGCTGGTGTGTTGAATTTTTTGACATAGGGTGCTGGCAGATTACGGGCCTCCCATAGCTGCTGCCAGGCCCCTAATCTGCCATGGGCCCCTATATACCGCCTCCTCATGCTGCTGCCAAGTCCAGAGTCTCTCATGGGTCCCTGTACGGCCTCCCATTGCTGCTGTCTCCATCGCCACACTCTGCCATGTGCCACTTTCAGGTCTCCTCACACTGCTGGTGTGTTGAATTTTTTGACATAGGGTGCTGGCAGATTACGGGCCTCCCATAGCTGCTGCCAGGCCCCTAATCTGCCATGGGCCCCTATATACCGCCTCCTCATGCTGCTGCCAAGTCCAGAGTCTGTCATGGGTCCCTGTACGGCCTCCCATTGCTGCTGTCTCCATCGCCACACTCTGCCATGTGCCACTTTCAGGTCTCCTCACACTGCTGGTGTGTTGAATTTTTTTGACATAGGGTGCTGGCAGATTACGGGCCTCCCATAGCTGCTGCCAGGCCCCTAATCTGCCATGGGCCCCTATATACCGCCTCTCATGCTGCTGCCAAGTCCAGAGTCTCTCATGGGTCCCTGTACGGCCTCCCATTGCTGCTGTCTCCATCGCCACACTCTGCCATGTGCCACTTTCAGGTCTCCTCACACACTGCTGGTGTGTTCCATTTTTTGTCATAGGTGCTGACAGATTACGGGCCTCCCATTGCTGCTGCCAGGCCTGTAATCTGCCATGGGCCCCCGTACCGCCTGGTCACGCTGCTGCTGGGTCCACAGTGTGACATGGGTCCCTGTACCGCCTCCCATTGCTCCCACTCTGCCATGTGCCACTTTGAGGTCTCCTCACACTCCTGCTGTTTTCCATTTTGTCATAGGTTGCTGGCAGATTACAGGCCTCCCATAGGTGCTGCCAGGCCCCAAATCTGCCATGGGCCCCCGTACCGCCTCGTCACGCTGCTGCTGGGTCCACAGTGTGACATGGGTCCCTGTACCGCCTCCCATTGCTCCCACTCTGCCATGTGCCACTTTGAGGTCTCCTCACACTCCTGCTGGTTTCCATTTTGTCATAGGTTGCTGTATGGCCTCCCATTGCTGCTGCCTCCACCGCCACACTGTGGCTCCAAACACTGGTTTTGGCCCCGTGACTGGCCAAATGAGTGAAGTGTGCGGTGATTCTAAGATCGACGGCACTCATCTGCATGTCATACTGACTGACAGTATTATTTCTCTTCCCCAGCAGACTCCAAGGGCATTTAAATTAAAGGTACAGTGTTCTGCACTAATATTAAGTCTCTCTGAAGCCTAGAAACACCCTTTTTTAAGTTAAATTCACAGCGAATATATTCGACTCGAATCGAATATTGTCCACGAATTCGCCGAATCAGTCGAATCGAATTTTAACTTTGGACAAAGCTAAAGCTATGTCTCGCCAGTCTGACATATCATAGCTGACATTCAGATCCTATTCCCATTGGTCCATATAAGGGAGTTTACAGCTCAGATCAACGAGAAGGGCATATGCCATAGAAATACGGACTCTAGCCAAATTGTTACCTTGACAGGAGACTTCAAAAGAGGTCAGGATGGGCGGTTCATTCAATAAGGCAAATTTTGAACGAATAAAAGAGGCAATTTGATAAAATTGAAAAATTTCAGTGGGAGGCAACTGCATTTTATCCTTAAAATATTGGAAAAGATATAGTCAGGCACCCCCAGAGGAAGTCTTCTATCCTCAATAACCCTTTATTAATCCAGGTCAGGTATAAATTCAGGATTAAAGAATACAGGGGCTAAAGGTGTGTACAAAGAGGCTAAGGGTTTGCGATGACGTACCCTATCCCAGACCGATAATGAGAAAGATAATGTAGGACATAATATGGAAGGACGAGATTGACTACAGAGCCATAGTAGAGCACCAACTGCTAAAGGATGACAGGAAAGAGCTTCAATAGAGACCAAAGGGGAACCAATTCCTGGGCGGTAATAAACAGTTGCAAGAAAAAGTATGTGAACCCCTTGGGATTACGTGGAGTTTTGCATGAATTGGGTATAAAATGTGCTCTGAACGTCATCTAAGTCACACAACAATAGAAGAACGCAGTCTGCTGAACATAATAGTAGTTGCAGATCAGACCTGCACAATGATCTGGAGTCATTTTGGACCACTCTCTCTTCACAAAACTGTTTCAGTGTAGCAATATTCTTGGGATGTCTGGTGTGAATCGCTCTCTTAAGGTCATGCCACAGCATTTCAATCGGGTTGAGGTCTGGACTCTGACTGGGCACACTCCAGAAGGCGTATTCTGTGCTGTTGCAGCAGCATTGTTTTTGTTGAATTACTTGTATGCTTTGGGTCATTGTCCTGTTGCATCACCCATCCTCTGCGGAGCTTTAGTTGGCGGACAGATGATCGTACGTTTTCCTGCAAAATGTCTTGATAAACTCTGGAATTCATTTTCCCATCAATGACAACAATCCGTCCAGGCCCTGAGGCAGCAAAGCAGCCCCAAACCATGATGTTCCCTCCGCCATGTTTCACAGTGGGGATGAGGTTTTGGTGTTGGTGTGCTGTGCCTTTTTTTTCTCCACACATAGTGTTGTGTGTTCTTCCCAAACAACTCAATCTTGGTTTCATCTGTCCACAGTATATTTTGCCAGTAGTGCTGTGGAACATCCAGGTGCTCTTTTGCAAACTTCAAACGTCCTGCAATATTCTTTTTGGACAGCAATGGCTTCCTCCGTGGTGCCCTACCATGTACTCCATTCTTGTTTAATGTTTTCCTATTGTAGATGTGTCGACAAAAATGGTAGCAGAGATTTCTGTAGGTCTTTAGCTGACACTCTGGGATTCTTCTTTACCTCATGCAGCATTCTGCGCTGTGCTCTTGCAGTCATTTTTACAGGATGACCATGCCTAGGGAGAGTAGCAACAGTGCTAAACTTTCTCCATTTGTAGACAGTCTGTCTTACCGTGGACACATGAACATCAAGGCTTTTGGAGATACTTTTGTAACCCCTTTTCAGCTTCATGCAAGTCAACAATTCTTGATCGTAGGTCTTCTGAGAGCTCTTTTCTGTGAGGCATGGTTCACATCAGACAATGCTTCTTGAAACCAGTGAACCAGTGTTTTTTAAGGGCAGGACAGCTGTCAGCAACACATCCAATATCATCACACTGATTGGAGTCAAGGTTGGCTCACTCCTGGCTCCAATTAGCTCTGGGAGAAGTCATTAAGCTAGGGCCTCACATACTTTTTCCTCCGTGCATGTGTGAATGTTTACATGTTATGTGCAATTAAACCATGGCAACATCTAATGTTTGTGTAGTATTATGTTCAGCAGACTGTGTTCTTCTATTGTTGTGACTTAGATGACGTTCAGAGCACATTTTATGCCCAATTCATGCAAAACTCCACATAATCCCAAGGGGTTCACATACTTTTTCTTGCAACTGTAGGCCAACTGAGTGATTTGGGCGGCTTGGAAATATATATGGAGATTAGGAAGGCCAATCCCACCATGAGCTTTCAAGGCATATAGCGTTTTTTTTGGTTCATCCGGGCAATCTATGGCTCCAAACAAAATGAAGCACCTCGCCCTGTAAATGTTGTAGCTCATGTCTCAGAATCAGAATTGGCAAGGTCCTAAAATAATATACTAACCGGGGCAAAAACTTCATTTTAATAGAGCTGATCCTGCTGAACCAAGAAATGGAGTAAGTAGCCCAACAACGGAGGTCCTCTTTAAGGTGTTTGAAAAGAGGAGGGTAATTAACTTGGTAGAGAGTCTCAATGGAAGCCATCAAATTGATCCATAAATAGGGTAAGGAATTGGAGGTCCATTGAAAATCATACATATTCTGAAGCTCTCGTTCCATGGAAGAGGGCAATGAAACAATAAGAGCTGTCATCTTTTGAGTGTTTAAGAAAAGCCCAGAGAGGCCTGAAAAATGGTTCAAAAGAGACAAAAAATTAGGTATGGTCGTCGGAGGGGGAGGAAATATACATTAAAAAATCGTCAGCAAATAAAGCACATTTATGTTCCTGAGGACCACAGTGAACACCACGAATACCAGAGTAGGAGCGGATTGCCATAGCTAAGCGTTCTATGGCCATGGCAAAAAAGTAAGGGGGAGAGCGGACAACCTTGTCTAGTGCCGTTACGAATTGGAAATATAGGGGATCTGTAACCTCTAATGGACACTTCAGCCGAGGGTGCGTGGTACAAGGACTGTAATAGAATAAGAAATGTAGGATCAAATCCAAAAGCTTTCAATATAGTGAACAAATAGTCCCAAGTTAAGCTATCAAAAGCCTTATGAAGTTCTAAAGAAAGGAGCAACAATTCCAGTGAGAGAGGGCATCCCAATTAGAGCTGACAGCAGAAATTAAAGCTATGGACCTGCGAATTTGATCTAATGTTTGATGACCAGATATAAAACTCAGTTGATCTTTATGAATATATTGTGCTAAAAAAGAATTAAGGCATTAAGGGTGCAAGGCCAAACGTTTTGTCGGGATTTTCAGATAGCAGTTAACCTCCCTAGCGGTATGATTATGTCAGTATTCTTGTGCTCAAAGTAGTACATTTTTTTGCATGGAAATATGTCGTTTTTTTATCGTAAGCCTGTCATTTTTAGGAATAACTCACTGAAAACTGTCCGAGCAAGAGTCTAGTAAACATCCCGGGTATGATAAAATTTGAAACACGAAATTATAATATAATAATCATAAAAAAAAAAAAAATAATCATAAAAAAAAATAATAATCATAAATTTAATTCAATAATATAATCAAACCAAAAACTCTGAAATTTGAAATAGAGCGCCAAGTTCGCACATCACTGAGCAAAGTCGCAGAATCGAATTCAGTATCTGATGATTAATTTCCCCACAAATCATTATCACTCAATTCTGCAAGTGGTTCTGATTTACTATCGCTGTTCTCTAGCCGGTCTAAAACCAATTTTGACCTAAAGGGACGCTTTTTGGACCCCATGGACGTTTCTCAGTTTCCAGGCAGAAAGAACAGTAAAAATGCAGGCAGGGCGCCGGACAAAGCACTCGGGACAAAATGTATGTGAAATACTTTGAAACAGTAATGTTTTTACTATGTGATTTTAGTGTATTAGTGAATGTCACTTTTTTAAATTTCCCGCCAGTTCCATCCCCTGTATGTCCCATACGTCCTGACGTTAGCAGGGACCGGAACCCGGAAGACAGATGCCGACATTAGCCGGAGGAGATGGCTTGGGACGCTGCAGGGGACACATCGTTGGAGTGCAGGACAAGGTAAGTGATTGAGGGAATCCCAGAGCAACGCTGCAGTGTAACCCCGAGTGTAGCTCAGGGTTACCACTTTTGGCACTGATAATTAACCCCAGGCTACACTCAGGAATACCGCCAGGGAGGTTAATAACAAGATAGGTCTATAGTTAAGAATATCTGTGGTGTCCTTGTTATGCTTAGGTATAACACTAATATAAGCTTTAGTTTCATCCAAAGGGATCACACCGTTCTCTCTCAAGGAACTGAAGTAAAGAGCCATATGGGCGAGAAGCTGATCAGAGAAAGTTTTATAGTAAATATTTGGCAAGCCGTCAGGGCGAGGGGATTTATGTCATGTCAGCAGTTTCTTCACTAGTTATAGGCTGTTCTATAAGTTCTCTGTGAGCTTCGGCAATGCTTGGAAGCCGCAAAGGTCCCAAAAAATTTTGAAGCAAAGAGGGCTCAATGAGCTGGGGTTTGCTATATAAAGTAGTATAAAAAGTACTAAATTCATGAAGGATTTTCTGAGGATCCTGTGAAATTTGACCGCCCGAAAGCCGAAGTTTAGGGAGGGCCGAATGGGTTTGTTTGAGAGAAAGCTTACGTGCCAAGAGAAAACCAGTTTTGTCTCACCACATGAAAAATTTCTGATTCAGCCATCGTAGTTGTTTTTCTGCTTTCGTGGTGAGGCAAAGGTTATGTTCTAATCAAGTGTGTTTCACTTTGAAGAACAGATCCAGGGATGGGCTATTCTAGCAAAGCTTCATATTTCCTAGTTTTGGCAGAAATCAACTCTTCACAAGATCACTTTAGTCTAGAGGATAGTTGAATAAAAAACCCTCCGACAGAGGCTTTATGAGCTGCCCAGTTAAAAGCAGGAGACGTGTCTTCCACTTTATTAATAATGAAATCAGATTTCAAATGTTCTATGATGTCAAGACGAA